GAGAATTGACTTCCCAAGGTTATCCTCTGACCTCCACACTCCCGACGTGGCATGAGCACACCCACATCTCACACACACACACACACACACACACACACACACACACACACACACACACACGACAAATATAAAAAGTGAAAAAGGAGTTCTAACAATGCCCGTCAGTGGAATGAACGTGAGCACTTGGGGTTACAGTGGCTAAGCTTCTCCACTCTTAGAGATTAGGTCCTTCAGAGAGTTAAGTCATTATATGAGCACACATCAGGAGAAGTTCGCCAGTTCTACAAACAGGAGTTGGAGACAATAAAGTGTAAATGGTAGGTGCAGTATTTTAAGGGAAATTGTAGGGTACAATTTATGGGCACACCATCATGCTTATAGGACAGAAAGTCTCAACTGGTGTGCCAAGGACAGATACGAAAGCCAGGGATTTGAAAATACTATCACTAAAATACAGTCATAAATCCTGTCAGTATTTTAGCAGGGAAAACAAAGTCACAAAGAGCTTATTGGCCCAAACAAGTTTCTTATAAAACTTAAATATTTTGCTATTTGGCCAAATTAATTAGTTTGCCAAGTATATATTTACTGGGGCCAGGGATCAAACATGGGGCCTTGTGCATGCTAGGCAAGTCCATGCCACTGAGATATATCCAGCCCCTAAACTACTGTTTTAAAAGTCTTTATTGTAATTACAATGAGAACATTTCACTGAAGTTCCTCAAAGGATTCCCCAAATTCCCTTAAACTTACTCCAGCTGTTCCTCCCCCCCTCCTCGAGACAGGGTTTCTCTGTGTAGCTTTGCGCCTTTCCTGGATCTCGCTCTGTAGACCAGGCTGGCCTCGAACTCACAAAGATCCGCCTGCCTCTGCCTCCCGAGTGCTGGGATTAAGGGCGTGTGCCACCACCTGGCTTTTGTTTTGTTTTTTAAGACAGGGTTTCTCTGTGTATTTCTAGCTGTCCTGAAACTCACTCTGTAGACCAGGCTGGCCTCGAACTCACAGAGATTAAAGGCATGCGCTACCACTGCCCAGCTTCACCAGCTTTCTTTGCATGTACTCTTGGGATCCAGGCTCTGCTCTTCATACTTGCAGGGCAAATACTTTACTTACTTAGCCCCTTCTGGTTTTATAGTGTTTACTGAATGATGAGCCCACACACAGTTCCTAAGTCCTCTACTATCTGATGTCTAATCCTTGCTCAGATCTGACCATTGCTTTCCACTAACAACTCCGCTGCACTTTCAGCTCCCTTGGACTCTGATGGGCTAAAGGCTTGCTATGGGATCTTTGTAGGTATTGTGCTCTTTCTCTCCTCCCTATCCCCAGTCTCCAGGCCTAGAGCCTAGCATATACTTGGCAGCACTCTGTCACTGGGCTACACCCCAAGCCCTGCCCTCTTTTCACTTTGTGGCTCAGGCTGGGCTTTACCTATGGAGCCCATATCTGGCCTTGACCTCATGATGCTTCCATTTCTACCTCTGAGTCCTGGTGTAACAGGCATTACCATTACACTCAGCAAGAGACGGGTCTTTCTGGACTGCCCCCAATCCTTTCTTTACTGTCTCTCTGGGGAATCTTAGTATACCCAAATACAAAAGCAAAAACAAAGTACAGTTCTCCAGCTGCACACTTTCTCAGAACTCCCTGCTTTCCTTTGGAACAAGACTGCAGACCAGTGGACCACAGTCTCTGGCTACAATCACCTTTTTCTCAGACCAGGAGTCCTGGAAGTCTTCCAAGTCTCAAAGATGAGCTTTCCTTTCTCACAGAAACAGCCAGCTTGTCAACTAGCTGAATGCAGACAGTGTTAGCCCAGGGAGCAAGTTAATTATTCTAGCTGTTCATCAGAATTTGCTACATTTATTGCTTTGTTTCCAAAAGATCACAAAACTGATTTTCATTTCAGACTTGGCTAAAACAGTCAAACAAATCCAGAGTAGAACAGACAAAGCAATTTGAATAAGAACAAAGCTGGCGATTCTCACACTTCTTGATTTCAAACATCATCACAAAGCTGTGGTAATTAAAACAATGTGATTCTGGACACACCTACATAAAGGAGACAGACCAGAAACCCCAGAAATAAGTCCTTACATACACGATCAAGTGCATTTTCAACGAGGATACATACCAATGGGGAAAGCACAGTCTTTTCAGCGAATGGTGTTGGGAAAATAGATAATCCGAGCAAAGATGCAGCTGGACTTCCGCGTTATACAGTCTAAAAACAAGCACAAATGAACCGAAGACCTGAGACCTAAGACTCCCGAGTACTTAGAAGGTAGCACAGAGCTCCATGGCACATTTGGCAATGACTTCTTAGACTCGACACCAAAAGCAGAGGCAAGATTACAGGCAAGTAAGTCAGACACAAAATAAAAGGCTCCTGTGCATCTGTGGTTACAGTTAACAGCCTGAGAGGGAGACCTGAACAACGGGAAGAAACACTGGTCAATTTAATCAGAGGGCAGGATCAAGAGTGCGTAAAAAATCCTACAGTTTTTCTGTGTGGTGCTCTGGCTTGAACCTAGGAACTCATATGTTCTTAAATGCTCGACCTCTGAGCTCTGTCATCCATGCCCCCAAACTCCTACAATATCACACAAATACTAGTAACTTGATTTTAAGATGGCCAAAAGATTTGGAAATTTCTCCAAAGAAGGTACACACAAGTGGAAAATAATCGTATACAAAGAGCAATAGCACTAATCATCAGGGAACTGTAAATCAAAACCACACTGAGATATTACCCAACAGTGGGTGAGGGTGGATGCTTTCAACAACAAAAACAGCTACAAATAAGAAGCTTTGGCAAGCATGCCGAGAACTGAGTCTGGGCACTGTTATGGGGATGTAAAACCACGCAGCCGCTACGGAAAGCGTTATGGAAGTTTTCAAAGTATTAAAAATAAAGTGACCAGGGCTGGGGAGACGGCTCAGTTGGTAAAATGCTCGTCCCAGCGGCAACAGGACCTAAGTTTAGATCTCCAGGACCCAAGTAAAAGAGGCCAGTGTAGCAGCTTGTGCCTACAATCCCAGCACTGAGGAGGCCGACAAGAGGATCCTGTAGCTTATGGGCTAGTTTAACCTAACCAGTGAGCTCCAGGTTCAGCGAGAGACCCTTCTTACAAATTAAGGTGGATGCTGGGCATTGTCATGCCCTTTAATTGCAGCACTCCGGAGGCAGAGGCAGGCGGATCTCTGTGAGTTCGAGGCCAGCCTGGGCTACAGAGCAAATTCCAGGATAGGCTCCAAAGACACATTAAGAAACCCTGTCTCCAAAAAAAAAAAAAAAAAAAAAACAAAAACAAAAACAAAAACAAAGAAACAAACAAACAAAAAGAGTTTCAGGACAGCCAGAGCTACATAGTGAGACCTTGTCTCAAAAACAAGACAAAACCAAAAAGAAACTGAAGCAGGAGGATCAGGAATTCAAGGTCATCTTTTAAGGCCAGCTTGACTCTGTCTTTAAAAAAATGGGGTGTGGGGGGGGAAGGGCAAGCAAGCAAGAATAATATGGGGTCTGGTGAGATGGCACAGCAGTTAGGAACACTGATTGATTAGTCCCCCAGAAGATCCTGGTTCTATTCCCAACACACATCCCGTAGCTCACAACCTCCTGTAACCCCAGTCCCAGCAATCTTCCTTCTGTGGGCCTCGTCAGGCACCAGGCACACACATGGTATACAGACATAGATGCATACAAAACACCCGTAAAATAAATTATAAAAGAAAGAATACTCAAACAAAAGTTCAAAGAAAACTTTAGCGTTCAAAAGGAAGTCTTGACATGTGCCACATTGTAGATGAAACTTTACACCAAGCTAAATGAAACAAATCAGCTACAAAAGACAAACACTATATGATTTCACTTACACGATATTTCCAGGATTGTCAAACCCATGGACTCTAAGAGCAGAATGGTGGGGCTTTAGGGGGTGAAACAAGTAGTTGTTTGATTCATCGAGAAGTGGAAAAATTTATGGTGTTTTGTCCCCTAACAATGTGAAACCGGTGAATGTCTTAAGTGCCTGCCATGCCCTTAGCCATGCATTGTTCCCAACAACCTTGTTTTTCTGGTCACTGCGCTGTCCACAATGGCTTAGATCTAATGTGCTGGCTATGAAAACCCTGCCCAATTTTCTACAAATGATGCCATTCATCTTGGAGCTGCAAGAGACACAAGTCAGGCTGGGTAGAAAGAAGCCTTGGCTAAGAGGCTTAATCCTGAGGGAGAACTCAAACTGTCGGGCCACCAGAGGTGCCTCGGTATCATAAGCAGCTGTGAACCACATTCTCAGCCTTGAGACTTAGACGACTTGAGGTCCTTCCTCCTTTCCTGCTCTGATCTTAATATATACCCATATCTTCTCGGCTGACAAAGGCATCTCTCTCCCTTGTTCCCTGGAACATCCTCCCATCCTGTCTTGTCAGCTCCATCAGATAGTGGAGTCTGCCTTTCCGCAGAAGCAAACAATAGTAACCCATTTTTGATCAAGAAACAAGAGAGTTCCTAGCTGAGCTTCGTGGTGAAGGCCCGTGACCCCAGCATTTCAGAGGTAGAGGCAAGAGGATCTTGAGTTTGAGGCCAGCTTAGGGTACAGGGAGACATTGTTTAAACATCCAAACAAAAGAGAGAGAAAAAAGGGACCCCTTAAGGTTCAGTTTTCTATTGAGTTTCAGATTCTACATTCTGGTTTTACTCACAAGATAGGAATTCTTTCAACTGCCAAGAAGTCTTTGGTGATTTACAACACAAGACTTTTAGGGAACGTCCTGGAATTACTATAAAAATCCGTACAAATATGTCATCCCAACCTCCTGCCTTTCTGATTGCCATCAGTTCATTTAGTGAAGACATCATTAAAACAACAAAAAACTTAGCAGGCTTCCCTCTGTCTCTCTCTCCAGTCTTCTCCTTAAAGGGAGAAAGGAAAGTGTGATTTGATCGTGGGTGGTAAGGCAGCCTAGCCTGCAGCTTAAACGATGGCCCCAAAGCTGCGTTTGGCGGCTCACACCTGCAATCCCAGCACTGGGGAGGCTAAGGCTGGAGGATTCTCACTGGTTCAAGGCCAGCTTGGGCTACAGAATGAGCTTTGTCTCGCTACCTCCAACCTCATTCATTCCTTCCCTTTCAAAGATGGCCTTAAAATGCAGCAAGCATCCCGAGGAGGAAGTGCCAAGAGACGACACGGCTGCGAGTACAAGCCACAGAAAATCGCTGCCTGAAACCTGTCCGGATTCAGAGACTGGAAGGCAGTGACAGCCGGATGCCTCGGAGAAGGCAAAGGAGCTGTCCTCAGGGGGACAACAAGCCGGTAGGAAGTACTTGGAGTCACCACTTTTCCACCTAGGCGAGAGACGGTTTCTACCAATCCTCCAAGAGATGGTGGAACCAGCACCGGTTGCTAGGCAGCCGCTTTATGACGTCATCTCCCAGCACCGGAAGTGGCGGGGCGCAGTGGCGTCGCGAGCGGGTTTGTGAGTGTCTGCAGTCGAGGTAAGCTGGTGGTCGGCCTGCCTCCTCTGCTGGTTGGCTTAGAAGAGGCCGCGGGCGTTCGGCCCGGGCTGCCAACCCGAAGCGGTGGCCCTGAGTGTCGAGTTCGAGACTTCCTTCTGGGCGGACCAGGCTCCACCCTTGGTCGTGCTGCGGTGGGCGGGTTTCAGGAGGAAGAGTGTTAGTCTCCGCCCCGCTGCTCCCGTGCGCCCTCCCCCTCTCCCCCCACCCCACCCCCACCCGACTCCTGTATCTAGTTGGCCGCAAGATCAGCAGGAGAAGATTTGTAGATAACAGTGGACACTGTCATGCCAACCGGGCTGTTCGGCTTGTCGGGAAAGTGTTTCTGCCAAGAACGCCCTCCTGGGGTAACTTGAGGTGCTCTGTCATCAGTGTCCTCAGCAGGCCTTAGGAATGCCGGCGGCGGCGGCAAGGCCTTCCTCAGTGCGGAGACTGTGGTTCCGCAAAGCAGGGGTGTTTGAAATCCCATCCGTTTGGAGTTGATGGGGAATTACTTTTGAGAATTTGACGTAGATTGGGGATTTCCTAGAGCCCCTGCCACCCTCCTTGGGTTGAGACCAGGTCTCACGTAGCCCAGCTGGCCTCGAATTGCCGATCCTCCTGTCTCCACTCCCCAGTGATGGGATACAGGCATATGCCATTGGGCCTGGGCAACTTTTCTTTTTCAAGATGGGTCACAGTAGGTAGATTAGTCTGGCCTCAAACTTCTGGCTAGCCTGCTCGTGTCTCCTGAGTACTGAGATTACAGTCCTTCATCATAGACTCCTTTATACAGAATTTTTCATGTGGGGGAAGCAATGCATATATATACTTCTTCCCAAGATGATCTTTGTAAGGACATCTTCGTTCAATTCCTGCTTGGTCCTTATTGATTTGTCTGCTCGTGTATTTGTTCTTTCTCCCATTCTTTCAACCAACGTCACTGTCTACTGAGTTACACAGTCTAGGGAAACTTGCAAATTTCCAGCTCGTCAGCCAGTCACCCGGGGCTTCGCTTATCTGGACCTTGCTGGGTCTCCAGTTCCTCCTGTGCCTTCAGCGTTAGCTTCTCTGTGCACAGTGTGCGGTGTCTGTGTGTGTGTTTGCCCTTGTTCCTTTTGCCTAGAAATGTCTTCCTAATTCCATTTTCTGGTTCTTAGTGCTCAATTAGGCTGCCTGTTTCTACCAAATTAACCAAGTTTACAAGGCTCTGCTTACACCCGTCTCCAGGAAACCCTCTTTCACATGGTCCTAAAGGCTTGTGTTTCCATACTATTCTACAGACAAACCATACCACACTGATTATGATTATCTCTGGGTCTTCTCTGAGATCGGAGGCTTCTGAAGGCAGGGCATATGTATTAGCTTATGATTCCATGCTAGAATAGCATGAAACGCAGAGTAGGCATGAAACAATCTTGATTGATTGAATGAGTGAGCCCCCAAACAATATCATGTAGTGGTTAAGAACCTATTCTTTGGAAAGAGTTCAGACCCTAACTCTGGCACACAGTGTCCTTGTTGCCTGACATGGCTCTTGCTTGTCTAAGCTTTAATTTTCCATAGAGTGACATTGAGACGATGTAAATGGGACAGCACAGGGCCTACCATGTAGTGTGCTCTTGATAAGTTATGCTGAACACTGGAGGTCCTGGGACATAAGACCAGGCGCCCACAGCAGTGGTCTCCAGGGACCTTTCTTCCATGTTTCTTGAAGAGAAGGCCGTGGGGAGTCTGTTCCCAGGGCTCTCAGAACTGTGAAAGTTGTACAAGAAAGATGAGGACTCAGTCGGCCTCAGGGACGAGGTGGGACCTAAAATCTGACAAAGACTTGGGTTTTTAGGAAGGAGAGGAGGATAAGGTAACATCAGAATACCATGTTTAGAATAACTTACTCAGGAACAGTGCTGCAACACGTCATTCCTGAAGGATGTGTGTGTGTGTGTGTGTGTGTGTGTGTGTGTGTGTGTGTGTGTGAGTGTGAGGGTGGGCTGCAGGGAGGGAAGCGTGAGAATGGCCAGTAGGGCCGGTTCTGTGAAATAAGTAACCTTTGAGGAATTAGAAGCCTAGAGTCTTAAATTCAAGTCTGTGTTGGACATTAGTGGTCCACAGCCACTTGTGGTTATGTGTTGTTCGAATCTTAGATGGTCTTTAATAAAACACCCAAAGCCAGATATCAGAGTGAAAGCTGAAAGATCAGAGAAGCAGAACAGCCAGCCACTAGTTCTTACCTCTACAAAATCCTCAGCCTAAAGAGAGTGAGTTCCTGTTTCCTCATGCCTTATATAGCTTTCTCTGCCCTGCCATATTACTTCCTGGGATTAAAGGCGTGTGTGCTTCCCCAGCAAAGGCGTGAGATCTCATGTGCTGGGATTAGAGTTGTGTGTGCCACCACTGCCTGGCTCTGTTTCTAATCTAGTGGCTGGCTCTGTCCTCTGATCCTCAGGCAAGTTTATTAGGGTACACACTGTATCACCACATCTGTGTTAGTTGGGAACAAAGTCTAAAGTAAAAACTCCAGTGCTTTAGTTGTGCTAAGTTCAGTTGTCAGTGTGGCGGATTTATGATGTTTTTTTGCAGAAAAGTCTTGTGCTAGCAGTGCTTCCAGATGGATTACTGGCCTCGTGTCGTCTTCCAGTTATTTGTGTTCCCCAAGAGTCAGAATTAGTCAGGGAGTGGTATACAGTGGTGTACTTAGCAAATAGACCTTGCAGAAGTGGGAGGGAATGGTGGAGTGAATTGCTTCTCTTTTGGGGCATTCTACTTTAAGAAGAGGAACCCAACTGGCTGTGGTGGCACACGCCTTTAATCTCAGCACTCGGGAGGCAGAGGCAGGTGGATCTCTGAGTTTAAAACCATTCTGGCCTATAGCAAGTTCTAGGCCAGCCAGAGCTACACAGTGAGACCCCTGTCTTAGGGAGCCTGAGAGGAGCTCTGGGAAGTAAAAGTGGAAAACCTTGAAAACTTTGGGAGGGTTATGTTATCATCTGGTCAGTTATCTGCAAACATTTCTTGTAAGCTTGCTGGTTTATTGCAGGCTTGTTGTATGGCAAGCAGTAAATGCTGGGGAACACAGTGCTAAAGTAGGCTTGACTCTTGTAGTTTATGGGATTTTGCTGGAGGGTTTGCTTAAGATTCAGGAGCACACATCCTGTGTTCCCTGTATTCTAAAGTCATTAATTCCCAGAAGTCGGGTCTGGAGGCCCCAATGTACTGGTTAAGGTTTGTGAGCATTGTGCCGTCACTGCATCAGCTTCCTAGGGAGTAGTGCGCCGGAACATCACCACTTAAGGACGTCAGGGAAGAAAATGTGTATGTATTTGTGGCAGAAGGGAGGGCCATTTTCCATTGTCTTGTCATGTTCCTAGCTGTCTATTGGATCCTCTCAGTTCCTACTCAGAAGCTGCACTGTATGCTGGCTTCTTTGTCAGAGGGAGTGGTCAATCACGTGACTTGTTTCTCAATGCCCAATGAGGACCTGCTTCACTTCTCTGGCCATTACCTTCCCAGCCATCAATTTGTAGCAGGTGCAAACAGATGCCCCATGGAACATAGCGTTGTAGATGGGACCTGCCTGTAGCACCATACAGCTGGGCCCAGGTTTGGGATCTTAGGTCAACAGCTGACTTTAGACTCATATCGACTCCTCTCAGAGATCTGTTGAATTGTCCTTTGGACTCTCTGGCCCCTGGTATAATAGTGGCTTCTGGACTAGTCTCTGATCCTAGCTCTCTGCACTCTCCGGCCTACACATAGCTGTTGGCCAGGTGTTCTTGGCTTCTAGTGTTTCATCTTACTCTGCTGTGTGAAACTTGGCAGTTGTTTGCTGTAGATGATGTGCAAGCTCAGCTTCTCATCCTGGTGTTTGTCACTAATGTTTGCCCCCGTTTTTGGCTGCCTCTTGAGGCAGCATCCCTGGTGCGGCCCAGCTGCCTTCTCGCCTGTGGGAACCTGTGCTATCACTTGTGCTCTTTAAAGCGAGGTGCCTCTCCCAGTCCTTCCTTCCTGAAGGTTCCCCTGAAGGTCATCCTGCCTTGCACTGTCCTGTCTTTGCAGATGGTAACCATAGTCTCTTTTGAGAACATCATTTCTTTGTTCTTTGTTCCCGAATACAGCACTTGGGCAAAGCACAAGGCACTGGAGCTGCTTGGGGAGGAGGCAAGATTTCCTGAGGTGTTAGAAGCTTGGGCATTGATAAGGTTCTGGAACAGCAGTTCTCAACCTGTGGATCATGACCCATGACCCCTTTGGGGGATGAGGGACCCTTTCACAGGGGGCACCCATCTGATATCCTGAATATCAGTTATTTACATTATGATTCACAACCGTAGCAAAATTACAGTTATGAAGTAGCAACAAAGAAGTGTGGTTGGGGGTCACCGGAGCACGAGGAACTGTATTAAAGGGTCGCAGCAGCATTAGCTTGAGAACCGCTGCTCTAGAGGCTAGAGAGACTTCCTGAAGACCTAGTCCTGGCCTTGGTCTGGTTCTCTCTTCTGCCCTCCTGGGTCACCGTGTTCTTTTTCTTTGCTTCAGCTTCTGTGGCACGCTGATGCTTGTCAGATGCATTCAGTTCATCCATTCTCCTGAGCTTCCTGTCTGTGTGTCTCAGCTTAACTCTCAGGTCTCCCACAAGACATGTCAAGTAATTGTGTTCCCATGTAATTCAGGGCTGGGGATTTAGCTCAGTGGTAGACTGCCTGTTTAGCAAGGGCAGGGTCCTGAGTTTGGTCCCCAATATACACAGTCCACTTCTCTCTCTCTCACACACACAAAAGACAGCCCCCCCAAAACAAGCAAACATAAGAAAAAACAAAAACAAACCTACTAACCCCCCCCAACAAAACAATAGTCAAGGGAACCAATATGAATTTGCTCCTTCTTCATCTCTTTTCAAAAGGAAAAAGATTTATTTTTATTGTTTTTAATTATGTGTGTGAGTGGTGGGGGATGGGTGGTGCACGGGGGTCCAGGTCCCACAGAGGCCACAGTATCAGGTCCCCTGGAGCCAGGGTTACGGGCAGTCGCAAGCTGCCTGACGTAGGGGGCCAAGAACCAGACTTGGTGTCTGTCCAAGAGCAGTCTGTGCTGTTAACCTTTGAGCATCTCTCCAGTTCTTCACCTCCATTTCTAAATAGTGTCTATTTATAAAGCCTTCATTTTGTCTAATGGCATCTTCCAAATTAGGATCCCCCCTCCTGTTTTTTGGAGACAGAGTCTCATGTAGCCTTGGCTGTTCGGGAACTCAGTAGGTACACAGGGTTGGCCTAGACCTCACAGAGATCTGCCTGCCTCTGCCTCCGCCCCCTTAGTGCTGGGGTTGAAGTCCTGGACATGTCTGGCTAGATTAGAAGTCTTGTGTTTGGTGCTCTCCTCATTCCTTTGTTATTTTCCAACGTTCACCAGAAGATAAGTGTATCTCCCAGATTTGCCTTCCTCCTCCTCCTGTTCCTGAGACAGGATCTCACTATGCAGTCTTGGCTGGCTTGAAACTTGATGTGTGGGAGACAGAGGCCAGCATTGTCTCCACAATAAGTTCCTGCCTAGCCAGTGCTGAAGTGAGACCCCTAGGAAAAAGAAAAGCAGTGCTAGAGGGTGCCCTCTTCTGACCTCCCTGGGAACTGCACACATACGGTGCACTTACATATATACAAGTAAAACACTCACACACATAAATCTAAAAGAAAAAAATGTTCTTCAGATCTCTGGTATCGTTATATGTATTGTTTCCCTCCCCCCATTCTTTTTGTTTGGAGGGGAGGGACATTGAAGCCAGGGCTTTGCACACGTTAGGTAAGTATTGTCCCACCGAACTATATTCCTATCCCTTATTTTGAGAGAGAATGTGTCTGTGTATGTGTACATGTCAATATGTGAACCACGCACATTCAATACCTGCAGAAGGCAGAAAATGACGTGGAAAATACCCGGGAACTAGAGCTATTGTGAGCTACTATCTATCTAGGTGCAGATGCACACACTGTTCAGTCATCTCTCTTGATCCACGTCTTAATTCTTGGTTCTCTGACAGGCACGCTCCTTCCCAACCCCAAACCTTGTATACATAGCCCTTCTTCATGAAATCTTTTTTAATACTCTCAAGGGTCAGCTCTATCACTGGGCTAATGTCTTACAGTGCTGGGATCATACCACAGTAACTAGGGTATGAATTGTCTGCTCATATACTGTGGGGGGCCAATCTATTCCCACTTCCCCTCAGGGTACTCTTGAGCAGGAGCAGCGGGAAATAGTAGAGAGAAATATAGCTAGAGAGAGAGAGAGACAGAAACATAGAATAGCCTCGGGCCCTGACTATCTCTGCCAAAGAGCTTTTAAAGGAATGCCAAGGGGAGGAACAAAAGACCTCCCCCAAGGCACAGCCAAGCGCAGATCCTTCCAACCACCTGGTAGCCTTGCCCATGGTCAGATCATCCCCTTGTGCAGCTCTGCTGTGTCAGGCAAACTCAGATCTCACAAGGAAACTTCTGTGGGCTCCCCCGATATACCCTATTCCAAGCTCCTCAAATTACAGGAACAGTCTTTTACTCACTTCTGAGGGACCCTCTGCATATAGCCTAATGCCCAGCACAGGATATCAAGGAATGTGTAACAAATATTTGAATGCTTAGCATGCTTGGCAAAGGAAAATATTTTCCTGTATTATCTCATTAATCCCCAGCAGCCTCCTGAGTCCTGTCATTATCACAGCTTTATAGGGGAGGAAGTTGAGACTAGGAAGGTGAAGTCACCTGCCTCTGTGAACATCCTCGCAGTCATGTGTGGTGAGGCTGGGTGTGGCCTGGATGATTTGCTCTCCAGTGATCCTCTTTGTTTTCAGAGCGATGATGCGGGTGTGCTGGTTGGTGAGACAGGACAGCAGGCACCAGCGAATCAGACTTCCCCATTTGGAAGCAGTTGTGATTGGTCGAAGCCCAGAGACCAAGATCACAGATAAGAAATGTTCTCGCCAGCAAGGTAACTAACTGGTCATAGGAATGTGAAGATGATGACTGTTGAGTTGTAGAGGATAGTGATAACCAGTGATGCACATTTCTGGGTGTTTTTGCTGGAAAACCTATTATAATCTCAAACAGGGCTCATAAAGTGTGTTCTTTTAGCTAACACAAGGGCTGGTCCATCCTGGATTCTGCCTTCACCATGTAGTAACACTTAAGGCAGGTTCAGGTAAGGGATGGGAACAGGTGGCTGCCATCCTGTTCCCTTGGAGTGGCAGGGTTGAGTCTTGGACCCTGTTTTGCCCAGGGGTTATGCATTGAGCAGCAAGACAAATACCATGTCTGAGAGGTAATGGGGATGGCGGCAGCCTTTACATCCTGCCTTACACAGAGGGTCGATCTTTGTAAGACTGTGGCAAACAGCTTGTCTATCGTATGTTTTAAGGGGAAAGCTGAGTGTATACACACACACACACACACACACACACACACACACACACACATACACACACACACAGATATTTTCCTGCACACTGTGGCATGCTCACCCTTGCCTGCAGTATGTCCCCGTAACTCTAAGGTTCTGGATTCAGAGTTGGGGTTACTGCTCTAGCAGTGAGTATGGACTTTCCTGTATGAGTTAGTCAAGTGTGCTGGAGTGTTGAGCCGAGGAGGTCCAGGATACAAACTGCTGCTGCTTCCATCTGCCCGCTTCTCACAGCAGCAAGTGTAGGGGTGTGGGGGTTCGCCGGCTTGCCCCCCCAGCAGCTGTGGTGTCTCTTCTTGTTCCCCGTCTCAACCCCACATGCTTTTTGACTTATCTGAACATGAGTGCTTGAAGTTACCCTTCTCAAACATACTCATACTGTCCAGTCCTGCAGCGCTCTTTCTAGAACATTCTTTCCATTCCTTCAGGCCAGCTTGAACTTCTGTTTTCCAAGAACATATCTTTTACCTCTTTCTCTGTTAGGCACTTGATAGTAATATTCCCTACCCCCGAGGTTCATGTTAGGCAAGCCCTCTACCCCTTAGCTTCAGCTCCAACCTCTTCCCCCCCAGACAAGGATTCTCTGTGTAGTTTTGGGTGCCTGTCCTGGATCTCGATCTGTAGCCCAGGCTGGCCCTGAACTCAAAAGAGACTGCCTGGCTCAGCTCCAACTCTTGATAGATTTTTTTTTTTTTCCCTAATAGTAGAAGTCTTCTCTGACCATGAGCTGGGAGTTTTCTTCCTGTTGGCAGAGTCTGTGACCCCTCCTGGCTAGGGGTTCTGTCCCAGAAGGCTGCAGGGATTCATGAAAGCTGCCTCAAAGTTTTTATTTTAATTTTTGTGAGACAGGGTCTCACTGTGTAACCCTAGCTGTCCTGGGACTCACTATATGGACCAGGCTGGCCTTGAACTCACAGAGATCCACCTGCCTCTGCCTCTTAAGTGCTGGGATTTAAAGGTGTGCACCACCACAACCAGCTTCAAAATGGGGAAGATGTTGAGCATTTGTTTGCTGTTAAGATTTATTTATTTATTTATTTATTTATTTATTTATTTATTTATTTATTTATTTATTTATTTATTTATTTATTTATTTATTTATTTATTTTTCCCAGTCAGGGTTTCTCTGTGTAGCTCTGGCTGTCCTGGAACTCACTCTAGACCAGGGTCTCACTATGTACCCCTAGATGGACTGGGGCTCTCTATGTAGACCAGGCTAACTTTGAACTCTAGAGATTCGGCCTGAAGTAAAGGAAGTAACACCATCTTGTCATGATCTTATCCTAACTCCATTTTATGTCTGTTCAGGCATTTGTCAGCCCCTAGTTCTTGAACAGTCAGGTCTGCCTTCGCAATACATTTTAGAATTTCCATAACACTGACCATGGCCCAGATGTATAACCAAATATCTGCTGAATGAGAAGCCAAAGCAAATGTTACCACTAGCAGTTTCCCTAACAGACAACTGACAATGTCATTGTGGTTTTTAACTTTAAAAAATGTTCTACTCTAAGATTTATTTTTATTATTTTTTAAAATTATATGTGTGCCTCTGAGTGGGTGTATTTAAGTACAGTTGGCTATGGAGGCCAAAGGCATCAGATTTGGAACTGGGCCAAAGGTAGGAATGAGCCATCCAGCGTGGGTGCTGGGAACCAAACTCAGGTCCTCGGGCAACAGCAAGCAAGTGTTCTTAGCCAGTGAGCTGTCTCTCCAGCCCCCCCCCTCCCCAGTTTTTAGCAGTAGTTAAGGGAGTACGTGCACTGATATAAATTATTTTGGGGGGTGAGAAGTGGGGTTTAAGATGATGTTCTTACATATTCCAGACTGACGTCACACACTGGCTATGCAGCCAAGGCTGGCCTTGAACTCTCGATCTTGACTCTTCTTCTCAAGTCTGGGATTACAGGCATGTGCTGTCATGCCCAGCTCATTGATGGACATTTTATGGAAGGGCTGAAGCTGTTAGAAATTGGGATTTGCCGGGCGGTGGTGGTGCACGTCTTTAATCCCAGCACTTGGGAGGCAGAGTCAGGTGGATTTCTGTGAGTTCAAGGCCAGCCTAGGCTACCAAGTGAGTTCCAGGGAAGGCGCAAAGCTAAACAGAGAAACCCTGTCTCGAAAAACCAAAAAAAAAAAAAAAAAAAAGGGGGGGGGGTGCTGGAGAGAGGGCTCAGCGGTTAAGAGCACTGGCTGCTCTCCCAGAGGTTCTGAGTTCAATTCCCAGCACCCACATGGTGGCCCACAGCCATCTGTAGTGAAATCTGATGCCATCTTCTGGTGTGCAGTATACATAATAAATAAATAAATCTTTAAAAAAAAAAAAAGAAAAGAAAAATAAAAAAGAAATTGGGATTTGTAGACCCAGGCACACGAAGATCAGGCTCATCTGTGGGCTGTCTGTAGCAGTCAGGCTTTGTTGTCCTTTTGGGAAAACAGAGTACCTGGTTTTGGTTGCATCTGTGTTTACTGTTTTCTTATGTCTTTCAGTACAGTTGAAAGCAGAGTGTAACAAGGGCTATGTCAAAGTAAAGCAGGTATGTGTGTTTGTTACTTGGGTTTCCATTTATTACTTGATAGTTTCCTTATGCTGTTGCTTTAGACTCTGCCAGCTAATGCAGCTCCTCTGTCAAGGGTGGACGTGATGGAGTGAACTATAGGCAGGGTGACTGTACAGTAAGTGGTTAATACAGTCTATTAATGATGGCGCTGTTGTTGTTATGCTTACAGTATGATTGTGTATCCACAGGTGGGGGTCAATCCCACCAGCATTGACTCCGTCATCATCGGGAAGGACCAAGAGATGAAGCTGCAGCCTGGCCAGGTTCTCCACATGGTGAATGAACTTTATCCATATATTGTAGAGTTTGAGGAAGTAGCACAGAGTTCTGACCTAGAAACACAAAGGAAGAGAAAGAGGTCAGACTGTGATGGTGAGGAGATGGATGCTGCTCAGGAAGCGGAGTCTGGGACAGGGCTAGCACCTGGGAGCAGCCCCAGCCAGTGCTCTGTGCCTTCTAAGAAGGGCAAGGATGGAGTCACCAAAGAGGTGAGAATAGTGTGATTGGTAGATGATGTGGAGATGAGATGAGATGTAATGACTGCTTAATTGTTTTGTACACTATAAAGCTTGGACATAGGGGAGTGGGATTAGTCATAATGAGGGTTGTTAACCATGATGAAAGAGTCACTTGTTTGTGGCCTGAAAATCACTTGGTGAATGTGCCTTTATATGCTTTTCCATTAAATTACCGGGGTAACCCATTTGAAGGAGGACAGGGCAGTCAGTAATGGCAGTGTGTCATGCTCTGCATGGCTTAGGGATTGGCCTAACTGGGGCAATGAGGGAATGAAGGAAGGCCAGACACACAGACACACAGACAGAAAATCTGGGGTTGGGTGGGCTGGTCTCTCTGTGGAGATGTATCATCAACAGCAGCCCGGAAACTCAGCATGGTTCTTTTGTACATCCAAATCGAGGAGGGGGTTTGTTGTGTGTGGCTGAACAAGGAGGCAGGCTTAGGAGGTCTCTAGAAGGGAGTCGTTTCAGGCTGTAGACATCTGTGGGGAGGAAGCTGTGGTTGATAGTTTCTGCACACACTGGTCAGCCATTTGTAAACACTGGTGCTTAGACCAGAGGAAGGCTTTGCTCTCCCTCTGGGCCTCCCTCTGGGAAGGCTTTGCCATTTCCATGGTGTAGGCACTGAGGCCCTTGACCTGGCTGGTCATGTCAACAGCACACGCTCATTCAGGGCCTCCTCCACTCCCCATAATGGTGTCATTAACGTTGGACACTAGATGGCTTGTTTGCTTGTCCACCTTAATTGATATGTAATTCACGTGCTGATGTCAAAAGGAGCTGGCCTAGGCCGCAGCTGCAGTGTGAGAGGACAAAGAAGGCTGATCGTACTCGGGCAGCTCTGGCTTTATGGAGCTTTCCTGGGGAGATGTGAACAGATGTCTGATCCCCCCAGATATGGCACTAATGACAGGCCAACCATTCCACCCAAGTCTAACTTGGTGAACCAGCGAGTTTAATTGTGGTTACTTACAGGAGCATGGGCAGCTTATGGGTGACTCCCCCATCCTGGCTGCTTGTGTATCCTCTGGGAGGGGAGGAGCCTCATGAGCCCTCTCGTGAGTCCTCCCCATCCTCCAACAAGGGGATGTTATTTGGCCCAGTCTTGTGAAAGTCTTCTTCAGGTAATCCCACCTGCTCTTACTCAGGACGGCGGTCTGCACAGAAGACAGAGTTCCGCAGCAGCCTCCGTCCTCCACCCAGTTCTGAGTAGCGGAAGACAGCAGGGGGCTGTGGTCCTGGAGGGCGATAGACCCAAGTGAAGGAAGTTGAATTCCCAAAAACTAATGTGACGTCCATGTTTGATTTGCACTTTGCTGTCCTGCAGTGTTAGCTACATTTAATTACTGGCATTTATATTTACATTGTCTATGTTTTTAGGAGTCACTGGGCCACTGGAGTCAAGGCTTGAAGGTTTCTATGAAAGACCCCAAAATGCAGGTCAGAATAAAATTGTATAATTTAAGTATCTGTCATGTTGTACACGACCATTCTACAGAACTCATAATTATAAATGAAGCCAAAGGATTCTGGCTTTGGTTCTGGATTCTGATTACTGGACTTTTCTGTGAGAACACGTGGCTTCCACATTGGTACTAAAGTCGTCACTAGACTCGTGACCTTTTGCTTGCATTCTTTCCGTCATGTCACTGAATACTGCTCTCTCCTGATCTCCTTTCTGAGTGGTGACAGTACTCACACTTACAGCTGTGTCCGCATAGACGTACAGACGTTATAGGCTGGGAGCCACATAGGAAGGACAATGTGGGCTTTTATCTTTCTGGCTTTGGGCTACCTTGCTTAATATACTTTCTACGTCCATCCATTTTCCTGTAGATTTTGTGATTTCATTTTTCTTTTTCTTTCTTTCTTTCTTTTTTTTTTTTTTCAAGACAGGGTTTCTCTGTGTAGTTTTGGAGCCTGTCCTGGCTGTACTGCAGACCAGGCTGGCCTCGAACTCACAAAGATCCGTCTGGCTCTGCCTCCCCAGTGCTGGAATTAAAGGTGTACGCCACCACCGCCTGGCCATTTTTCTTTTTCTTTTTGAAACAATTTTATTGATTTAATGTGTATTGTGTTTTGCCTGCATGTGTGTCTATGCACCATGTATGTGCTTGGTGCCTGAAGATGCCAGAAGAAGGTGGATCTTCTGAGATTGGAGTTACAGGTGATTGTGAACCATCTTGTGGGTACTGGGAATCAGACCTGGGTTCTCTGGAAGAGCAACCAGTGTTCCTAACTACTGAGTCATCTCTCTAGCCTCTCCCCGCCCCCTTTTTTAAATTGACACAGGGTCTCTTATATAGCCCTGTAGCTCTGGGTGTCCTGAAACTTGCTTTCTAGACCAGGCTGTCCTCAAACTCATAGAGGTTTTTCTGCCTTTGCCTCTTCCTCCTGAGTGCTGGTATGCCTCCATACCCAGCCTCTGATTTCCTGAATAATACTCCATTTTCTCTGTATAACACATTTTCAGTTTCCATACATCAGTTGATGGATATATGAATCATGAAAGAGCACATAAACTAATTGTTTTCTAGTTTGAACACTGGCATAGTTTTTTCTTTTTCTTCCTTTTTTTTTGTGCATGCAATTGTAATCGATAATGAAAGTGTTAAACCCTGAGTGAAGCTCCAACTTCGGAATGGCCATTCTAGCTATATAAAAGTTCACTGAGGGTTGGGGATTTAGCTCAGTGGTAGAGGGCTTGCCTAGCAAGCACAAGGCCCTGGGTTCGGTCCTCAGCTCCAGAAAAAAAAAAAGTTCACTGAGATTTAAAGCATTTGGGGATGGGCAAGTGTTTGTTGAGTGGCCGCCTTAATCTAGCTGTGTGATGGATTTTATTTGTGAGTTTGTTACAATAAAGTGCTTTTATAAAATTTTTAAAAATTGTAACTGGAGGTCTTTGGAGAGCAGCGTACTTTTTGTCTGCTGTTGAGAATTGGACTAGCAGGGTGGCTTAGTGGGTGAGGGTGCTTGCTGCCAAGGCTGAAGACTTGAGTTTGGAATCAACCTGGTAGAAGGAGAGAACCAACTCCTTAAATTGTCCTGTGATTTCTCCAGATAAGTAATAAATGTGAAAAAAATTGTGCTAACCTGGGCATGGTCCCTTTGAAGGGATCATCAGATAATGCGTGGTGACTGCAGTAACAGCTGTCTTCATGTCAGAAAGCAGCCATCATCCTTGGATTAGGGCTCCTTGAAATCTACACATGTATTCCAGGTCTGTGTTCGAGAGGCTGCGGTTGAATTCTACCTGTGGAGATTTCACATTGAGGCCTTGAGAAGGCTTTTGTGCTCTGTATCTTCTCTGTGTATCCTATGTAGTGTGGGGTTTTCAAACACAGGCTCTGGAGTCTGTGGGATTTGGGTTGGAGCCCTCGATTCCTCACTGTGTAATTATGTGACTGGTGGAAGACGCTTTCGGTGTCTGCCCTCACCTCTTAAAAGTTTTTGCACAAGGTTTTGTAAGTAAGTAAGTAAGTGACCGAATGAGTGTGACAGCGCATGTGCAAAGATCCTCACTGATGTCTCTTTCCTTCCTGTGTGCTCCCTGCTAGGTTTACAAAGATGAGCTGGTGGTGGTGATTAAGGATAAATATCCCAAGGCCCGTCACCATTGGCTGGTCTTACCCTGGGCCTCCATTTCCAGTCTGAAGGTTGTGACCAGTGAACATCTTGACCTTCTCAAACATATGCACACTGTAGGGGAAAAGGTGATTTCGGATTTTGCTGGATCCAGCAAACTGAGATTCCGGTTGGGTTACCATGCTATTCCCAGTATGAGGTAAGCCTTGGGGTGAGGTGCTGCCTTCTGGTTTGGTCCAGGTGATCAGTGTGGACTTGAGAGTCTGGTAGTTTCCAGGCCCAGGGGAGGTGGGATGTGTCTGAGCAGGTGGGCTGAATCTTGCACCTGCCTCACTTGCCTATGAGCAGCCCAAGTTCCTGCTTCTGCCTGCCTGTAATTCAGTCCCTTGACATTGTTGATTTCTCTCAGAATGTAAGCTTTTTAACACGCAGGCTAGAAGAAATGGCTTCATTACCAGTAGATGAGGACTTATTGTCAGTGGCTTGTTAAAATTCTCGGAGTTACCTATCACTCTTAAATGACTGAGGACCATTGCTGTAAAGGAAACAAAACACCATACACATCTGCAAATAGAAGCTTAGGGTGTGTGCAGTTTCAAATCAAGTGAAGGGAAGGTGGGGTCTGCTCTGTGTGGCTTATTTGCACAAGGGTTTGGGGCAGAATGATTGCTTTTCCTCACAGAGCGCGTGCAGGACAAATTCATTCAGAATTCATTCAGTTTATTTGGTCTGAGCAATAAGATAATGAGTGCATGGACCGTACCTCTGGGATATACCCTCAGAACCCCCTTTAAAAAACTGCACTAAAATAAACAACATAAAATTTACATTTTAAAGCCGGGCGTGGTGGCGCACGCCTTTAATCCCAGCACTCGGGAGGCAGAGCCAGGCGGATCTTTGTGAGTTCGAGGCCAGCCTGGGCTACCA